TGTGATCGATCACTGACTGTCATCTGCCGAGCTGAGCTGCATTTTGATGACGTGGTGATGAATTAAGTTACTACATGATGGTGCAAACAATTGCCGCAGTCATCAAACACTGAACATGAATTGAAAGAAAATCAGCCTCATTTAAACTAAAAACAACAGTTTTAATTATTTTTTTATTTTTAAATATTTTATTGAGTTAATAAGTAAAAGAAAAATGTTGTCACCAAATTTGGAGATGGTTTTGACTGGACAGCAATGCTATGGTCTTTTTTTCCCCTTAATGGTAATGTTACATTTCCTAAAAGTGTAATCATTTATTACAATATTTATGCTAGGCAGTGCATATCCCCTATAATATGCTGCAGCAAACCTTATTTGTCTTCTGATTGATTAGTCTAAGAAACTGTTTGACTGTTAGTTGACTGTGAATGTTAAGTCGAGGACAGCTCTATTTCTCCCTCTTTTGCTTTGCATGTTAACATTAAATCAGGCGTATTCTATGAGTCTTCTATATCCACGTTACTGCATAGTAACCAATCACCAACTGATTTTTACACCCGCTATGAAAATGTCCTAATTTAGGTCAGTTTTCATTGAAGAGAGTGGGTGAGAACTACTGTATGATATATCCATCATGAAGTGGGCTGTAGATTGCTCTCAGCTAGCTTGTAGCAACATTCCTTGCTACGGTGTGGTTTGATTGCAATTATCCCTGATTGTCACTCACATGAGCTGTAGACTGGAGGGTTACGGAGCAGGGAATGGCTATAAATGGCATTTGATTGGAAAGAGCAGGGAAGGGGAGGGAAAAAGGGAGGCAGAGAGAGAGAGAGAGAGAGAGAGAGAGTACTGTAAACCTGGAAATGCTGACCTTTCTTTTATGTTTGTCTTTGCTGAATGATTTGTATTTGCTTCCTGGCTTTCTCTTTCTTTTTTCCTTTCTTCCAACAGTATATCACAAAACTGGATATTAAAAATAGTTCAAGTCAGTAAGAGGAATTTCTGTTATGGCACTGAACCTCACACGGCTGCCACGTACACACTTCCAGCAACACGGCAAGAGTGTGTGGAATGGTAGATAAAAGATGGCGATAAGCAAAGGACACTGGTCTTTCCAGACATGTGTGCACCCATGATAACATTCCTCCTTGCTTTGAGCACCTTGAGCATTCACAGGGCTGATTCCTCACTTGTGGTATGGCAGATATGTTGGAGTCTAGGAAAATGGGGTTGTGGTTGAGGAAGGCATTTCCCTTACATTACACTGAGGGTCAGTCACACGACACACACACACACACACACACACACACACACACACACACACACACACACACACACGTACACACACAGACAAAAAGACTCACTGCATTCTTCTGCCTCAACCAACCAAACAGCTGTCAGACACTACGTCAGTTCCCAAAGTATTCTGTCTATGTGTGTGCGTGTGTGTTCCTGTGAGTGTGATTGTCTGTCATATTTATGATAAATGATGAACTGTGTACTACAGGACGTGTTATTGGTCTTAGCAAATGGAAAGAGAAACTAAATGCTTAAGGATTTGAGATGTTCCCACACAGCCTTCCATAAAGCTTAATTTAGAAAAAAGCTGAATTATTAATGAATCATATTTCTGCTCTCCTGTAACCTCTGACCTTACATTCATCCAGTTCGACTACAGCATTCAACTCTGTATTTAATGCAACCTTCAGAGGCATTGTCGGATACATTGTTTGCTGATGTTAGCCTTTGAACCCAGTACTTGTGGTTCCACAGTCTACAGCCATTTTGTTTTTTAAAAAGACTGCCCTGTTAGGCGAAACGTGTACAGTAGGCAAAGAATTTGGCAAAAGCCAATGGCGAATGTGGGTGGACAACATTTTTGTTTTTTTGACTCCACTTGGCCTGAAGAGAGAATAGGAAGAATGCAAGCACTTAAAACAGATGAAGTGATGGAGAGTGAGTGAGTGAGTGGACAAAAGTATTCACGGTGTAATCACGCCAGCATGTAGTCAAGTACAGAGAAACACTCACACAGAACACTTGTTAGACATGTTGAATATCATCGCCCTTTTGATCTAGATCACCGCACACACATACACACACACACACATGCACCCATTCACCTCACTGTGACAGAATACAACAGCAGGACATGCACATGCTCATTCAGTCAGTTGAAGACTGGGTCCAAGATCCACACCCTGAGCAAGACACCAAACCCTCACTTGTTAAAGGTCCAGTGTGTAGGATTTAGTGGCATCTAGCTGTGTCGTTGCAGATCACACCTCCCTCACTTCACCCTCACCTTCCAAGCGAGCAGGAGAAATTAAGGTGGCTGCAAAATGTACAAAAAAAGGCAGGCGCCCCTGTCTGAAGCTAGCGACCTGCTGCGTCTGTAGATAAAAACGGCTCACGTAGACGCATGAAACGCCTCTTTGACCCCTGTGTGTTTGACTGAGTGAGGTAGGCTCACAGCACGCGCTCAAGTACTGCGGTGTTAAATATGCTCTTCTTTATTTGCTTGGAGGTTGAATGTACTTACTGTAAGTCACTTTGGATGAAGGCTCCTGCTACATGAATGTAATGCAATGTAGTGTAGTATCTTTAAAACATTATTGTCATGATAGCTTTTGTCTTTTCATCATATTTTAAAACAGCTGGAGGCCAGGTTGCATAAGACCCGCCCCGTCCTGATAGTCTGCAGGCTCCCTCTCCCCTGGCACCACCTTGTGTTTTTAAGTTTAGTTCAATCCTGGCAGTGTGTTTCCCTGCCAGTGTCATTTGTTACAATGTTGCATTTGGGAGCAAAACTACCTCTGTTTCCCCTTATTTGCTGTGGTCTCAGACTGGAGCCATAACAGGTGGTATATTTAAAATTGACATCTTTAAAGACTAGCAGGTATCATAGTATTTTCCCTAAAAGTTGGTAGAGTTTTGGAATGAAACCCTCACTCTCCGTCCTCCTTTGCCCTCCCTCTCACTATCCTCCTCCTCCCTTTTCCGCTGACATTTTTCTGCTTTCCATACTCCCTGCAGTGCCTGGCTGGCTGTGCCAGTGTTGTCCTCCCAGTGAGTTTCTATCTGCCTCTTCCCCGCCACCATCTGTTTCTCTCTTTGTCTCTCTCTCTCTCTCTCTCTGCCTTTCTATCACCTCTCTCTCGCCTCTCTCTCTCTGTCTGCTTTACCTTATCCTCTTTTCTATTCTCTCCATCTGTCTTCCTTCCTGTCGCCTCTGGATCTCTGCTACTTTTTCTTTCTCCTTTAAACTTTTGCTGTTTCTAAATCTTTGTTGCTGTCTCCTCTTCTCTTACCTCCATCCCTCTTTCTCCCTTTTCTCTTTAATACCATATGATGGATTCCTCTGCCAGTTGCTGTCTGCTAATCCTTGGCCTCAGTACACATCTATTTTTTCTTCCTCTGTTTCTGCCTTACATACACACGTTACTCATTACAACATCTTCTGTGCACACAAACCCCCACTGCTTTCTGTGTGTAGGCAGTTTAATGTGTGTGTGCTTACATGCTTAACTTAAGCCTGACACGTTACTATAGCCCACTGTCGAAGCCTATTGATTTTCTCCATGTCTACCATACGAGACGTTCAAACTGTTTCTTTCTCGCATTAGGCATCAGCCTCACTGTACCGTTATTGTATCTCATTTCCATTGCAGCTTTCAATTCCCTGTAATTCCCTGTAGAATAGAGTCACCCTGCATAACATAGAAAGTATGCATAGAATGATGTATTTTACTACTATTTTATGTACTAATGTAACACACAGCCACATACTGTAATTCCCTTCTCTTTCTTCTTTAGGCTGCAATATTTCCCACAGCTAGACAGTGACACACTCTCACAAACACACTCCCACCCGCCTCTTTCCTTGTCTTCAGACATGTAAGAAGTGGGTCAGTAGGATGTTTGACGTACCACACACCTTCCACACACACACACACACACACACACACACACACACACACACACACCCACACAGAAACTGCAGCTGACTAACAGCAGGGAACATGTCTCTCGTATCCCCGTAACATCCCCATCATTCCACCACAACCTGCCTAATTAGTCCCACAGAGTGTGTGCACACTGTCGACAATCAGCCAGTCTGTCTCTTATGCCGGTGTGTGGGTGTCTGCATAAGTCAACTTGTTGCACATTACATGTGCTCTTATTAAAGATGCTCTTGAGTTTTTTTTCTCTCTTTCCATGAATCTGACGGGTCCTTGTTTATAATTATAACCTGTGTTTGCATTGCAGTTTTTAAGATAATAAAAGACACTGCAGACGGTAGCAAACGAAAGCTACAGAATTAAAAGATCCTCAGTTAAAATGTCAAACAAGGGCAGGAGTTTGAATGGTTTAAATGAGAACCTTCAACAGGAGGAAGGCAGAAGTGCTCAAAAGCCTCTTAAAAATACTGTATATAAACAGTAGTCTTTCACTAGATGTTTGAAAATGTTTGTCCTTGTGCACCTAAGCTGCGACCAATTTCATTTAACTCTGTGTACATGTACAGTGATCGTTTTTTCGTATGAATTGGTTTATTTATTTGTGCAGTAAGGTCTCCTCGTGTTTTCTCCTTATGTCAATCATATCACTAACTCAAATGCACCATCATCATCATCATCATCAGTAACCATTGACTGTAGTGCTTTTGTTGTGCTGTCACGCTGTTGGGATGTGAAAGGCAAATGTTAAGCATGTTGCCTGTTCGCAGCCACCACTCTACTTGAAGCGAGATGTGAGAATCCCATATTGTTGTTTATGCTTATGGATCAAAGTTACATGTGTTGCTCTGTAAGATAAACCTTGTCATGCGTGCTGAGTTGTATATCCAAATACATTCTGCCGTGTGTAGTTCCTGCTGAACACAGTGTGTTGTGACATGACAGTGTGTGTTATAATGTACGTACATTCAGCAATTGCAGGGAAGAGGAAAAAGTACTTTGCCTAATTTAGTTTCAACTTCTGTTGTTTTCATCCACCAGGGAGTGCTGAGTCCCTGAGTCAACACACTGCATTCTGGGATAGTCTGGAACCCTCTCCATGGGCTGTACCACCTGCTGACAAACCAGGGGGGTCTGGAGGAGCTGTGTTGAATGAGGTGAGATTGTCCCTGTCGCTGCTGTTAACATGTGCTATACCCACATCATGGTTTTCAGTTGAATAAATTCAGTAGTTTTTTTACTATGTAAGTTATTTCTGTTAATAAAAGGAGATTCCATGTCTTCTAATTGAGGTTGTGCTTGATAAGCTAAAAGACACTGGTTCACTGCTTCCAACCTAAAAACGGCTAATCTTACTGTCATGTGTAATTTGATGTTATTAGTTCTGACATCAAGGACTTTTCAGGTCTGTGTTTCCTCCGTAGCCAAGAGCCTTGTTTTGCTGATAAACCTGTCACCCTGGTCACAGCACAGATGCATGTTAAGCAAAGTGCATTTGATTTTAATGTGAGTAAAGTGGCAGCTCATCACATGCACAGCTCGCAGTGAATGGACCATAGTTTTTCCTCCCTTTGCTTTGAGCCACGGCATATTGTACTGTAAATGTATGGCATGGTTCCCACTCTGTCATGAAATGTAATGAGTGTACCAAACTGTATGGTAGATGACTTCCTCTATATAAAGGTTAAAGAACAGTCAGAAAGATAAGAAGGCATCTTACTGTTACTGAAATGAAGCCAGTGGGCCTCAGCTAACTAAGTTTGTTTTACCGCCTGCGTTGTGATTGGAGCACAGGCAATTTTAGGGCGAGGGAAAGCTAGCTTGCCCAGCGACAGTGTGTTTGTTTATGAAGCTGCATCTGAGCTCTTTGGAGCAGCAATATAATTTTCATGCATAACACCGTCAGGAACCAGTTAGTGAGGGGTCTTCCTGCGAGAATGGAGGCCTTACTGGCAGTGCAGAGAGTGTGAAAAACACCCTTTAAATAATAGGTCTCTGTGATCCCTGAGGAGAGGGGAATGTATTGTTGTTCATCGCTTTGTTTATGCTTATTATTTACGTGTGTGTTTGGGTATTTAATCATTCATTGATGAATCTCAATATAAACAAATCTACCATTCTTTAGCGAACCACAAGCTACAACTGCTTTCGATTTTTTCTCTGAAGTACTCGCAGCACGAATGCGGTTCTTTTTTTTGTGTGGTAATATTGATCCCCAGAGGACAAATTCTCTTTTTGCTTTCTCCTCCTTCCACAAGGAAGTAAGATCGCGGGGTCAGCTGCAGAGTAGCACCTTTGGAGCTGCTGGTGATTATCTTGCTCGCAGACATTTCAGCAGAGCAAATGCCTTCAGGTCAAGGATTTGAACTCGGGTCTTCTGGTTGATGGATAGTCTCTCTACTCACTATAAGGCATTTTTCCAGTGAGTCAAAGAAAATCAATATGAACAAACATTTAAGCAAAGTTTTACAAGTTCTCTCCCCCAGATGAGTGTTATTTTCCACTCGCCTCTTTCCCCCGAGGGATACTCTGCATGTCTGTTTACTGCCGTCGTGAGCAATAAACAATGGACATGAGTGACTTTAATAACAAACACTAAGCGACCTCCGCCAGGAGTCTGCACGTAGAGCGAAAGATTAACATTTGGATTTACTAGAGTGTCAGGACACTAATTGGCAGGTTAAGTCTCAAGGCAGCACTGATCTGTCCAGCCATGAGCTAATAATATGCATCACAAACTAATTAAAAACATTTCATTGTTGCACAGCAAAGGCATCAACAGTGCAGACATTAAAAAGTAATGCTGGACAGACGTGACTGTTGTAGACAGGTGTAGAGAAAGGCAGAAAATCTACAAGGTCACTGCTAAAAATTAATTTGCTTGGTGGCCCGGATAGCTCAGTGGGTAGAGCTGGTGACCCATGTACCGAGGCTGAGTCCTTGCTGCAGCGGCCCAGGGTTTGAATCCGACCTGCGGCCCTTTGCTGTGTGTCATCCCCTCTCTCTGTCTATCTTCAGCCGTATCTATCAAATAAAGGTAATAAAAGGCCAAAAAAAATAACTTAAAAAAAAAAAAAACCTTTGAGGTGCAGACTGTGAAGAATGAGATAAGTCATTCATACTACCTCTTTAGTGATAACCTGTTGTGAATGACGTTGAAGTGTTTCCTACACAGTATTTCCATGCTTTTGGAGTAGAAACCATGTTGCTGCAAGTTGTTCTTGATGCCTCCACATTTGGTGCCTCGCAATGGGTGAAGTGCACTCTGGTCTTCGTCTTAAACAGACATGCTTGTTTAAGTGTGTACACACACACACACACACACACACACACACACACACACACACACACACACACACACACACACACACACACACACACACACACACACACACACACACACACACACACACACACACACACACACACACACACACACATACACACATTTTCACAGAGAGAGCACTCTCATTTACCCCACAGGGAGCAGACAGTTTGGAGAGAGCTGCAGTTTCCCTGCTGCAATCCCTGTCTGTATGTTGTGTGCCACTCTCTCTCTCTCTCTTTGTCTCTCTCACATTCTCCATGTCTTTCTCTCTCACTTGCTTTCTGTTAGTCGCTCCTCTTGTCTGCCTCTTGGTTAATTTCAGTTCAGTTCAGCCTTATTAGTGTGACATTTCGATCAAATACAAGTAGCCAGACCACATATTTGACCAAAAAGTGAGTCTCAAATTCAAATGTGCTTTATCTGCATGAGCATAATGTACAGAATTGCCCTAATAACACATTGTACAAGGTTTACAATGTAAGTGTAATGATTCAGAATCTTTTTTTTTCTCTTTTTCTGTCACTTTCACGTGCTGATTGAAGTGTGTGAGGCTGTACTTTCCTCCTTCACACTATCACCTTCTTTTTCGTTGAATCCACAGAGTAAAAAGTGTGAGTGTGTGTGTGGGTGAGAGAGAGAGAGAGAGAGAGAGAGAGAAAGACGGTGCTATTCTTGGCTGGTTGGGGAAGTCTTGGCTCTCTGGCGTATGGGAAAAGTGCTCTTGGCAAGTCTTGAACCGAGGCATTCCTTTATGCTGTCCTCTTGAAACACTCACACACAGAGGCAGATACACAAACTTGTTTTTGTCACTTAGGAGGACATTGCATTGACTTATATTCATCCTCTCGAGACTTAACCATGAACGCTACATGCTAAACCTAACCATTAACCAAAACCCAAGACTTTACCCTCAAACTGAATGGTTTACCTTCTGTGAATACTACCTACAACATGAGTAGTAGAAGCACACACACACACACCAAAGTGACTAAAGCTTACATTAACATGCTCCTTTAGTTACAAACAAAGTTTTTTTCATTCTCTTTCACACACTCACAAACACACACACACTCACATACACACACCAATGTTTACATGTATGCTCACACACACACACAGAGAGAGAGAGAGAGAGAGAGACACACACACACACACACACACACAGAGGAGTGCAGCCTCAAAAGAGAGATTTCTAGTTGTACTACATTATGCCCTGAGGCCCAAACCCAGAGTTTCACTGTCACTCACTCTCTCACATACACACACACACACACACACACACACACACACACACACACAGACACACTGCACAATATCCTTAAATCAATTGCCTAAGGAGTGGGAGGTTGTCTGTATGACTTCTATCTAACTAATAGATCTCTTAAGTCTCTTTCTCGATGTCCCTTTCGCTCTCTTTTCTCTCTCCTCTCTCTCTTGTTCTTTGTCCCTCTCACTGCAGTGCCACTACAAGGTGACATCACTGTCTCTCTCCATCTTTTTCCTGCTCCTCCATCGTTTTCTTGTTATTTTATCCTGCTCTCCCTCTACTCCTCCTCTTCCTCCTCCTCCTCCCCCTGTCATTCCCTTCTCTCCTCTCCTCTTTTATCTGCCCCTCCCTTCTTTGTTCCTCACTCTTTTTTTCCCCTCTCTATTTCTCCGTTCCACTGCGTAGCCTTACATAACTGCTGTCAAACTGTAAACACGCACAGTGTGAATGGGCTTGTAGGCAAAAATTGGGATTGGCGTCAAAATTGGGTCAGGGTCAAAGGGTTTTGTGTGTTTATAAGGATACATATAACCAAGCTCAAGTCAACTGTGTGTGTGTGTGTGTGTGTGTGCGTGTGTGTGTGTGTGTGTGTTGTGTGTGTGTGTGTGTGTGTGTGTGTGTGTGTGTGTGTGTGTGTGTGTGTGTGTGTGACACAGCTTCTAAAACATTTTCGATCTAGAAGCAAGAATTTTGCACACAAAAAAGTTATTTTTTTGGTTACAGCACACACACCCTCACACACATAAAGCACTCACTGGTCTTTCCTTACTTTAAAAAGGCCCACCCAGTGAGATGGAATTTCCTTTCATCTGTGTTTGTGTGTACAGTATGTGTGTGTGTGTGTGTGTGCGCGCGCAAAACTACTGAAAATAATGATGTTGAAAGAAAGTCAAAGATTATTTGGAAAAGTGAGGCAAGTTGGTCTTCCCTCAACTGTAGCATGGGCAGTGTAAGTGTGTACTTGAGTGCTTTTTTAACAGTAGCCTCCATATGCAAACTGGTTTGTTAATGGTAGTGCCTTTCAAGACTTCCATCCACTCAAAGCGCTTAACCAATGGCAGAGGCTGACTATATTGGGTTATCAGTAGTGTGTATGGTGGCAGACCTGCAAAAAGAAATTGCAGAGACAAGAGACAAGTGCAGCAATATATTTTACTTTGCAAAAGATTTTATACATTTGACTTTTCTCTATTCAAGTTTAGTACATTTGTGTTTTATGTATTTTCTTACATAGTTATTCAAAATGTATTCAATTTCAGTGACTTGTGTTTATTATTTTTATTCTTCTTATTCTTCTTATTCTTCTTATTATAGTTATATACTCACACTAAATGTGCTTTTATATCATTTTATCGACCAATATATTGATTATTCTCACGCATTGGTATTAAACTCACAAATTCAGTACCTCAGGCCATAAAAGTTAACATAATTAAAATATTCTTAGTATACAAACTACAGTATATATAGTGTATATACAGTTAGTCAATCAAAGAATAACATAATTCCTCGCTAATGAAGAAAATAAGTTTTGGATTTAGTTTAACTTGTAAACATTGTCC